TTTTGGGTGTGATTGTGTTGATGCCCTAGCTGTCTTATTTGCTGTGACACTTGGGATTTGATTGTATGGATGTTTGCTTTATTTATGAAACAGGAAGAAAGCCTATTTCAAGAGTTCCTCGTGGTAGGATATTGTGCCTGCTCAATATATCTGACGTGCTCATGGGGTAGAGTGTGCATGCGTGTGTTTATAAGATTGAGTGTATGTGCATTTGCGATTGTACAGTGTTAAAAAAACTGATATTGCAATATTTAGACGAAATATGCCTAAGCTGGTTATTTAGTTGAATAGCTAGTCCCTAGTGAGCTACGTAGTGAGTAGTGAGTGTGTAAGCACATATATTTTCCTCCCATTAGTTCGACCATCATGTTGCCTCGCTAAGGCATGTCTCATGCAAGCTCAGTACGGCTTAGCTTGGCTAAAAGGTTGTCGTGCAACTAGGTCGGGCCAATGGCATCATCTGCATTTTGCACCGCAAAGCGTGCACCTCGCGAGTACTTCAATTCCATGCAAAGACTATCACTTCCGAGTCTAGCAGTATTCTCCGATAGAAACTACAGTCCATCATTTTTCTTTTGCACATCACGCCCATCTAATTTGATTGTTGCCGTATGTACAAGTTGATTTTATTCTACACTAGTCAGCCCGTATCACTGTTTGATTTTATTTCATGCAATTGGAAGGAACGTACACAATAGTAGTTTCCTAGAAGTATCATTGAGTGAAAGACTACTCCATATGGGCAGGTCTGTAGCGGACTATTTTATATAAAATCAAACAGAGTTCAATTAGTTCGTACAAAGAAGACCTCACTTGTTAACGATATCTTATTTATAGATTATATTTAACTAGTATAACGCCCGTGCGTTGCCACGGGCTCTTCAAAATTTATAATCAGTATCTTTCATTTATCATCCTCTCATATTAGGTGATTATGGGGTGCTCTAATTAAAAATACAACAATCAAATATTAGGAAATTTCACCGAACGAACAACAACGAATAATACGATATCTATCAAACGAATAAAATGAGGTCATATTTTTGGTCCGTCATGCACTTCTGTTGAAAAGTGCCTATCCCTTTTAGAATCAACCCACTGTTTGCTCGCACGCAAAAAAATACATCTCTTAAGTGGGGAACCGATCGGTGCCAAAAAGAACTCAAACTCCTATCCAATCTCGACTTCGTGCTCTTCCACTTCCATTGATAAAGATGGGACGTCAAGGATTTCATCATGATGACCTCGAGCAGCCGCCGACATCCCTCCCTACATCTACCCTACCCCCTGCTGCCGCTTGCACTGTCCTTGCTCCTCGAGGGAGCTAGGGACACAATGTTCTCTAGGATGGGCATGACCAGATCCACGAGGAGCCCACATTTTTCCATGGGAACCCAACCAAGCACACCATCCTCCGCAACCATCCAATCCCGGCCTAACAAAGTCAAGACCCGCCATCGATCCACAAATCAGGCTCGCCGCATCCAGGTTCACTGCAAGTCTGCGACGAGTCTGTAGTCGACATCTTGACTTTGGCTATCCCCACGGAAGAATCATCGGATCCTGCTTACTTTTACCATCACTTCGTCTCTTCCCAAGGCAGCGACACCACCCAGCCAATCACCACCACCGCTTGCGGCTTGCCTACATAAAATCATGAGAAATCCCCACGGCGGTGCTGTAAGATCACCTTGGCGACCTCGACAGTGACCGACTGGTCTAAGATCTAAGCTAGCCGCTCTTTGTAGAAACCAATAGAAGTAGGCATGTGACTCAGATTTGTTCTTTGGTGTGCATGCGTTTCTTGCTGCCCACCATCTCTTGTCTACAACTCGCCTATCTCTGTACCAGCTCTTGGTCTACAACTCGCCTATCTCCATGCTCGAGACGACCAAGCTCGATGCGCAAGCCGCATACGTCTGCTAGAGCTATATCCAGGCCCTATGATTTTTGGATCATTGGCACTATGGGTGCCAGGACCGGAGTCGCCCTCATCCACCAAGTGGATCAAGGAGGCCCACCACCTAGACTCTACATCGCAACATTTTGTGTTTTCCTATAGAAAGTAAAGAACCTTCTCTAATAAACGTAAATATAACATTTTGGTTTTATAGTCTCAACTTTCCTACACTTCAATACCAGAAGGATTTCTTGGTTTTATTTAATGACCTTCTTGAATGTCATTCACTTGGAAAGGTAGTAATACAATCTGTGATATTAAGGCAAATTATTAGTCATATTAAAGTGCAAAAGGCCCTATAGGAGTCAAAGCATGACTTTTATGGTTATACTGTAATTTGCGAGATCTGAGATTTATGCAAGTGTACAATTAGAGAAGAGCCAATTAAATAGATTTTCACATTCAGAATAGTACGATTAGCAGTAGCACTTCAATTTTTTCATGTTTGATCAACTTGCTAGGTGGTTATCACTAAGCATGTTGGAACGATGAGCATAACCTAACTTAGTTCAGTACGTGTTGCTGCAAATTAGTTCAGTACGTACGAAGCTGTTGCTAATTTCAATGCCTGGCTGTTGCAAGTTTCTAATGAAAAAGTACTTCAGGTCAAAGGTCAGGGAATATACATTTTTGTTATCATGGTTGTTTCCTTATAGTGAACAACTTTGATCACCACTTCAGCAGCTACTATCTATAAGAAGACATTAGCTAAGTAGATATAGGCAAAGAAAGCATGTAGGCAAAACCAGAATTAAAAACATCCTTCTCAATGGAGCTCGTGCAGTTCGGAAGACCCTAATCATCGATGAGGGACCCCTCCGATGGTAGCATGGCGTGACAATTGCCGTCAATGACGACACCCAAAGTACCTTGCATAATCCATCGATCCAGTTCGGAACAATCAAGCACATACCTTGCAAAGTGATGTGGATCTGAAGCAGAGGTGGGAAGGTAAAGGCTCAGGTGAGGTGGAATGAGACGTTGATATAGACGTGCATGCATGAGAATAAGGCGGTGCCCAGGATGGATCTCCATCGGAGGAGGCCGGATCCGCTGGGGAGGAGGTCGCTGTAGTACCTGCCATCTGTGCGATGGATCACGTGGCTGGCAGGCAGGGGGAGGGGATAGGAGGGAGCGGGTGGGCTAGAGCGCAGATGGCGGGTGCCCCCGACGACGGCTGGGAAGGATGGTGGAGGAGGTGGATGAGGATGGCGGCGGCGGCGTCTGCGGTTGCGCCTCGTCCGCAGCCGTGCTGGTGGTGGTCGATGTGAGAGCCGGATGGCGTCGGCCAGAATCAGGCAGGAGCGACAAAGATTTAGAGGAGAGAGAGAATGGAGGCGATGAGCGATGGGAGGAAGGGCCACCGGCGATTGGGGTGGCCTCAGATCCGCCCTCCGTGGCCGCCTATTTCATGGGACGAACACCCGTGCTCACCGTCAGGCTCGCCTTCGGCCGCTGCCTCGCCGACATTCACGAGGTAGAGCCCCTTCCTCCGATCCCATTTGCCAGGGAGGCAGCACCATCCTTCATCGTAGAGAACGAGTCCACACTGAGATCCCAACCAGATCGTGATTGCGCCTCCCCAAACCGCAGCGGCACATCCCACTCCATCAACGACCAACCTATATGAGGCGGAGGGTCAGTGTAGGACGCGAGCGTCGTCACCATGGACGTGGGGGACGCCGTAGGTGGGAAGGAGGCGGCGACGGCGTCTGTGTCAGGAAGATCACACGACGGTGGCAGCGTTTACTCGAGGGGATCGAAAGGAGCTGCGTTTGGTGCCGGGTGGGTTCTTTGGTGCGTGCGTGGGGCTGAAGATTGTGATAGGTGATCAGGTGAGGGCGTGCCATACCTGGATCGATAGCCTTATCATACCTGGTGGTAATTTAAATTTATTACCATATTCGATATTTCCCGAGTTATGGCCTTACCATACCTAGATTGATAGCCTTTGGGGTAATTTACATTTATTACCATATAATTACCATATTCAAAATTTCCTGAGTTATGACCTTACCATAGCTGGATTGATTTATTACTATACGTGGATTAATTATGATTTATTACTATATGATTTATTACTATACGTGGATAACCTTACCATACCTGGTGGTAATTTAAATTTATTACCATATTCGATATTTCCCGAGTTATGGTCTTACCATACCTGGATTGATAGCCTTTGGGGTAATTTAAATTTATTACCATATTCGATATTTCCCAATTTATGGCCTTACCATACCTGGATTGATAGCCTTTGGGGTAATTTAAATTTATTACCATATAATTACCATATTCAAAATTTCCTGAGTTATGACCTTACCATACCTGGATTGATTTATTACTATACGTGAATTAATTATAATTTATTACTATATGATTTATTACTATACGTGGATAGCCTTACCATACCTGGTGGTAATTTAAATTTATTACCATATTCGATATCTCCCGAGTTATGGCCTTACCATACCTGGATTGATAGCCTTTGGGGTAATTTACATTTATTACCATATAATTACCATATTCAAAATTTCCTGAGTTATGACCTTACCATACCTGGATTGATTTATTACTATACGTGGATTAATTATGATTGATTACCATAAATACGTTGGGTATTGCCGGTCAGACGAGAAAAGAGAAAAACCGGTAGGAGGGGCTGGTGGGAGGTGGGACGAAGAAAAACCGGTTGAAAATAAACCGGTTGAAAGTGGGGGACTATTCAACCAATCCGTCCATTAGGAGTAGAGATAAAGATAAAGAATTGTTTTTTGCCCTATTTTTTAGGTCGGGACAGGGCCTTCGATTTTGCCGGCCCGACCGTGAGTGTACCTCACTGTAAGAAAACGTACGTTGTGGTGCAACTAGGTCGGACCAATGGCGTCATCTGCAACTTGCAGCGAAAGTGTGCACCTCGCGAGTACTTAAGCCCCGGGATAGTCCCCTCGATTCCCACAGCACAAGCCACAACAGCTAGCAGCTGGATCGATCGACCACCCAGTCGCATATATACTACGAGTGAACAGGTCAATCTAGCATGGCGCTGGCGTCTTTGTCCAAGGTGGTGCTGGGGTCGGCGGCGTTCGGGGTGTTCTGGGTGCTGGCCGTGTTCCCGTCGGTGCCTTTCCTGCCGATCGGCCGCACGGCGGGTGCGCTGCTGGGGGCGGCGCTGATGGTCGTCTTCCACGTGATCAGCCCGGATGACGCCTACGCCTCCGTGGACCTCCCCATCCTGGGCCTCCTCTTTGCCACCATGGTCGTCGGCGGCTACCTCAAGAGCGCCGGCATGTTCGGGCACCTTGGCCGGCTGCTGGCGTGGCGGAGCCAGGGCGGGCGCGACCTGCTTTGCCGCGTCTGCGTCGTCACGGCCCTCGCCAGCGCGCTCTTCACCAACGACACCTGCTGCGTCGTGCTCGAGCTCGCCGCCGAGCGCAACCTCCCCGCGAAGCCGTTCCTGCTGGCGCTGGCCACCAGCGCCAATATCGGGTCCAGCGCCACGCCCATCGGGAACCCGCAGAACCTGGTCATCGCCTTCAACAGCAAGATCTCTTTCGTGGGCTTCTTCCTCGGCATCCTGCCGGCCATGCTCGCAGGTATGGCCGTCAACATGGTCATGCTGCTCTGCATGTACTGGAAGGACCTCGAGGGGAGCAGTCCCGACGAGGTGGCCGCCGAGAAGGAGATGGCGGCCGTCGAGGAGGGTCGCCTGCCGTCCCCGGCAACGTCGACGACGCTCAAGGGCCCCGGCCAGACGATGCTGGTCCAGTCGTCATCGCTGGTCGCCGCCGCCGGCCACGACTCGGTAATGATGGAGAGCATCTCGACCAAGCACCGGTGGTTCATACAGTGCTCGGCGCCGCAGCGGAGGCTGTTCCTCAAGAGCTTCGCGTACATCGTGACCGCCGGCATGCTGGTCGCCTACATGCTCGGGCTCAACATGTCGTGGACGGCCATCACCACCGCCGTCGCGCTCATCGTGGTGGACTTCCGCGACGCGGAGCTCTGCCTCGGCAAGGTGTCTTACTCGCTGCTGGTTTTCTTCACGGGGATGTTCGTGACGGTGAGCGGGTTCAATAAGACGGGGCTCCCTGGCGCCATCTGGAACGTCATGGAGCCATACTCCAAGATCAACCACGTCAGGGGCATCACCGTGCTCTCCCTCATCGTCATCATCCTCTCCAACCTAGCCTCCAACGTACCAACCGGTCAGTGAATTCTTGCATCGTCAAGTGTACTTCTTTACACACTACACTGTACGTATCACTTGCGCTAGCCGTTGTGCATGTACGTACGTAACAGTAGTATCTGCGTTAGATCTTTCTTGTTACGGCATAGTACTGGAACTATAGTTTAGTGGCTAGCTAAGGGGCATGAAAAGTACTGCCTGTTTCGTTCGTTTGTGCTGCTGACGCATTGAGCATTCACTTCTTCTTCGGTACAACCCCTGAAAACATCAACGGTCCAGATTGTCCTATACCCCTTCGTCTGAAAACTTAAAAAAGGGTAGGATGGTCTTTGCCCCTGCCCCTCCCCCAGTCCCGGCCCCGCGACGTACCCGCGCGGCCCGTCGACGTACGTACGTCTACGCATTTTCTTTTTACTGTGGCGACGTACGTTTTTTTACCGCGTCGGTGGTCAAGCGCGTCGGTGGTCAAACCACGCGTCGCCCGCTGAAAGCGCGTCGTGGCGCGTGAACTGCGGCCCGCCGCCCCGTCCCGTCCCGTCCGTCCCCTCGCTTGCCGCCCCGTCCCCTCGTCTGCCGCGCCGCCGCCCTCGACTGCCGTCGCATTGATAGCCCGACGGCCCGACCGCCCGCCGCCCCGTCCCGTCGCCTCGTCTGCCGCCCCGCCGCCCCGTCCCCTCGTTTG